ATTCCAGCTGTTCGCGTGGGATATCCAGCCGGTGGGACTCCAATGAAATGCCAGGTGCTGAGCACGAGAGAACATAATGGGGAATCTCTCTGGATCAGGCAGTGTCCCCATGGAGCTGACACTTCCCAGCATTCCTGGCTGGAATTTGGGGATCCCAGCACAGCCCCTCCGTAGTGTCCCTGTGAACTGGCACTGCCCACCATCCCTGGCAGGGCTTGGGGGTTCCAGCACATCCCGCTGCTTCCTCAAGCCCCCTTTAACCAGGATCCTTTTTTGGGGTGGGAGCACCCAAACCCAGCAGAATTGGCTTTAACCACTTTTGGGGGATCTCCCCTCTTCCCTCCTCACCCAATTCCTGCTGCCCAAACCCAGCCTGAGGCTCAGCTCCCCATCCCCTCAGTCTCTCCAAGGAATTGCACTTGGATTTCCCAATCCAGCAGGGCAGCAATGCTGTTCTCCTCACCGTGGATCTTAATTGCAGTAATTGCTTAAGAAATAATTAAAATAAATTCAAAGAAAGAAGAGACAATAAAGAAGAACTGCCAGCTCCAGCCAAGGGGTGCTCAAGCCCCTTCTCAATGATCTGCTTTAATTAACCACTGCAAATGAACCAATTAAGATCACACCAACACATTATTCTTTTTAATCAAGTTCTAGAGAAAAACTGCAGAAGAAGAGAGAACCTTTTTAACCCCAAAACTCTTCTAGGAGATGCACAGGGCAGGGCTGCACTGCACCCCCAAGAAGAATTGGGAGAAAAGACAAACCCAGACTGAGATTCCTGGGAGATTGGTGCAGCTTCTGCCAGCCAGAACAATCCCTGGTCTGAACACACACCTGAGAATCCCCGGAGCCTGGGACATCATCAATATCCTCAGGAGCCTTTTTATTAAAAGCAGATTTCCACAGAGAATTAACAGAATACAGCAAATGAAATGCAAAGGAACAGCTCCCCCAGCCCAGCAGGCTGCAGCATCCAAAAGAAAATGAACAGAAAGATGATGGATTGGGACCATCACCAATCCCAAATCCCTCGTGTGGAATCCCACTCTGCCTTTGTTTATCAATCACTTCTCTTAGTGGACAAACCCTTCAGCTTTGCTCCCAATTCACCGAGTTCCCAACTGTGGCCACCAAGATTCTGCTGCACTGAGTCGTGGTAGGATCAAGTGGTACAGATGCAGAGTGGAGCAGGGAAAGAATTAGGATCATCTCTCCAATTCCAGTTTTCTCGGTGAGGTTGAGAAAAATAAGGAGAATTTCATTTACACGAGAAGATTGGAGTCTGTTTTTAATGACTGGCAGACAACACATGTAGGGAAACATTTCCACCTGTCTCAGCACAGGAAAACCATAAACAGCAGGATGGAATCCTGGAAGAGAAATGATCAGGTGCCTTCTATCAGGGTGGCACCAGAGGAGAGGAGAGGAGAGGAGAGGAGAGGAGAGGAGAGGAGAGGAGAGTCTCCCTTCTCCTGGGATAGGTGTTGTACGTATTTACCTGCCTTCCACACCCTCAACAGCAAATTTGCCTTATGGATATCACATCAGAAAACAAAAAAAAAAATTGCAAGTGAATTGTTAATTTGACAGGATAACAGCCCTGGGACAGACATTTTTTCCTGCTGTGCTCTTGCTCTTTTCAGAGTAGCCTGAACAAGTTTTCCAGCCAGGAGACCCCAAATTAGCACAAAGAGCCACCCCCCAGCACTACAGTTATTTACACCTCAGCTCTTGGCTGCAGAGGAGTGTCCCGAAGGCCCCAGCAGGAGCACAACCTTCAGCACAGGTCCCCTTGCACAGTCCAGGCGCACACAAAGTACACACCGGCCTCAAACTCCTCCCTCCTGACTCAGTTAATTTCTGGAAAGCCACAGAAGAAGGAATTCCAACCTAACTGGGATTTCCTCCCCTTCCTGGCCTTCAGGGCACTGCTGGGCAAAGGCAGCGCTCCCTCCCTGGCCTGCTGGATTCAGTTTGACTCCTCCAAGCTCTCCCCCACGGTGGAATAACTGAAATGTCCCACAGGGGTATAACCAGACCATGAGCTGTCCCAAAGCACGTGAGCTAAATACAACCCTGCAACCACTGTTGTGGTATCCAGCACTAAATTAGTGGTTTCAACCCCCTTCTGACCACCTAACACAGCTAATGAGGACAGGAAAATTAATTTAAACTGAGCACAATGGGCTCAATTTCCAACGCCAGGTTTTACAGGTTCACAAGGAAGTGAGTTTCCCCAGTACATGGATTTCAAACCACCGGCAAAGCCAGTAGGTCAGAAAGGGAAAAACAGTTGCTGGCAGTGCTGGAAGCAATTATTGCCCTGAGTTACAACAGCGTGACCTAAACTGAGGGAGCACCTGAGCCCCTGTGAATATGGCATCAGGTATCTGTGCAGGTTACATTTCATAAGCAAAAAGATCCCTGGGAAGTGCATTAAAATTGTTCCTACCTGTCCTTTCTCAAGGCAAGACTGTTTTTACATAGAGCAAATATTTTTTTATTAAAAAGACAACACTTTACTCAGCTGGAGAAGAAAAAGATGAGATCTGCAAAATTTCCCTATGCCAGGCAATACAAAACAAAACAAAACAAAGCAAAACTTTTCAGTTTGGGTAAAAAAGAACCTTTCATTTCACTTTTCCACCATTTTCAACAACCTACCATATTCATTTTGTCTCTCTTCAAACAAAAAGCCAATTCAACTTTGAAAACCGTGTATTCTGGTGTCCCAAGCTAACACATAAATGCATTTCTCTTCCCCTGTGCCCAAATAGATCTTAGCATAGAAACATCCAAACTCACTTTTCCTGGGAACCTGCAGAATTCTGTGCCAGCAGCTCAGCATTGCCTGACAAAAACCCCACAGATTTCCAGTGGGTTCTGCCTGCTTTGATTTTCAATTCCTCTTCCCCCAGCTGCTCCCTGCTGTGGCATCTGGGGCAGTTATTTCCACGGGGAAGGACAGGGAGGGTTTCACACCTCATCTTTCCCTGGAGCTGCAGGAGAGCCTTTGGGTCCTGCTGTGTCATCCCCCCCAGCCCCTAAAGCATCATTTCCTTCCACCCTTCCAGGAGCTGCCTCACAGCCCCCCAGGAAGGCCCCACATCAAACCCCAACAGCTTTGGTTTGCCTGCTTCTTCCCAGCCACAAGGGATTTCACTGAAACAAGGGCTGAAAATCCTCCTCAAAAGAGGAGCAGAGGGACTCTGCCCCTCCAAATGCAAACTCCCGGCCACCACCACTCCTGTTCCATCAGTGAACCCACATTTGGTTCCATTATAAGATGGGCCTCCACTAAAACTCCAGTTTTTCTCTCCTGCAGGAATTTTGAGGCCCAGGGAATGGCTGTGCCCAGGAGATTTGCCAAAATCCGCTACGATTTCACTGCGCGAAACGCCAACGAGCTCTCGGTGCTGAAGGATGAAATCCTGGAGGTACGTGACCCCTCCTGGGAAAAGGTGTGTCCCCTCCCCTTCCCAGGGATAGCAGCCAGCACCAACTCCATTTCCCTGGTGGTGCGTGAGCAGTGACAGAGCTCTGCTCAAAGCCAAAGCTGGAACAGGCTGCCTGTGCTGGGCTGTGTCACTTCCTCAGCTCAAACACATCGGTCCCATCTCAACCACGGTGAGGAGGGAGGACAACAGCTCCCTGTCGTGCCCTGCTCATCCCCTGCTGGACACGAATCTGTTCATAGCACCGAGTTACTCTCCACAGTCCTCAGGAGTTTCATGGGGAAAGTGACACTGGATGAACGCCAGATCACTGGAGTTTTCCCAGAATCACAGGATGGCCTGGGCTGGAAGGAACCTTCAAGCTCATCTCATCATGAGTGTGTTCCTCACTCCCAGTTTGTGCTTCCTGCTGCTTCTGTTCCACTGTGGAGCAAAACCTGGAGCTCTGGGATCAGCAAATCACTCACTAGAAGTAGCAGAGAGGACTGAAAAGGTCTCAATCCCAACTCTCCAATTGTAGATTCTCACAGATCTGTCTGTCAACATCAGGCAACAGCCAAGGGGTGATGGGAGGAAAATAAATGGCAACACAGGGGCACAGGAAAATGGGAACATGGTTCTTGGAAACACAGAGTCCATCCCCCCAACCTCTGCTGCCTCATGGGAGCTGGGATTTTCCCCTCTTGCTGTGAAGTTTGCAGGGCAGTTCCCTTATTTCACCAGCCCAAAGGGAACTAAATAACTCAAACCCAGAAAGATGACAAACTGAAGCAGAGCCCCAGCACCAACGCCAGCCCTCAGGGAATGGGACCGTGTCCCTTGTCACCACCTGAGAGCACCACTGGGATCAAAGACTCTGCCAGATCAGTTTACACCCCGGAGCACACCTGGAGCAGGAGCTGGTGGGTGTTGAGGGGTTTATGTCCTTTGAGTGGGGCAGGAGGAACAGGGTGAGTTAGAAACATGAGAAACAACATGGTGCCACTGTAAATGTGTTCACAAAACAGGTGAAAGTGAGGTTCTCTCCCAGTCACACTGCAAGAAACCATAAAGCAGCTTTTTAGATCCCTTGGCTGGGATTCTGTGATCCCTCCTCTCCTTCATCCTGCACAAGAACTGCAGAAATCAGTTTTTCCCAAAGAGAAAGTGAGGTTTCAAAAGCTGAAGGGAGACTCTTGGCTCAGGGGGAAGGGGGAGATTCCCCACTGTCCTCTAGAGCCCTCCAGCCTCCAAAACCGTGGTGACCTCCCTGTACACGTTTGTTCCTGGCAGTATTCTGAAGGTACAAATGTCATCACTCACCTTATTGCTCCAACAGAGCACCTAAGCTTGTTCTTTAGACTAAAATACAAAAGTAAGCACTTTCCTAGGCTGAATTTACAGAGTTAATAAAAATGCTGAGCCACACCCCCATTTTCCTTACAATTCCCACAACACAGGGGCACAGGAAAATGGGAAACACTTTTCTGGGCTGAATTTAAATAAAAATGCTGAGCCACACCCCCATTTTCCTTACAATTCCCCACAAACACATTTAATGGGATTTTTGACTGAAGATTTGCTTTCATTCCCTATTTGTTTCTACAGAACTTATTCACCAAATGGATGAGCTGAATGACGAACTGCTTAAGAAGATCACAAACAATAAAATTCAGCCTCCCCACAGGAATTTCAAAGTGGAAAAGCCTCAGCAAGTTTTTGTGCCCCTCACCTTTGAATCCAGCACTGAAGAAGTCAAAGCCTGGCTGGAGGCCAAGTCATTCAGCAAAGAGTAAGATTTGCTCTATTGCCACATGAAACGCTCGTCCTTCCCTGGAGAAGGAGCTGGGGAGGCTGCTGGCACCATCTCACCTGGGACAAGTCACTGGGATTTACTTACAGAGCCTGTGCTGCAAGTTAGATTTCAACCCTCTTAAATCCAGGCTCTATAGCCAGGATGTTCAGAGCCCAAACGCACTCCCATTCTTTCTTATAAACATTTTCTTGGAGAAAAATAATCAACGAACTAAACCCACGGCCTGAAATGCCACTGGAATCAGCTGCCACCCTGGCACAGCCCCAGGGCCCTGTGATACGATCCCAGTGCAGCTCCCAGCCTCCCATCTCCCACTCCTCACCTCTGGCACGAGCCACGTGCAGCACATCCATCATCTCCCACTTTGTGTCTCCCCAGGACCGTGGAACACCTGGGCATCCTCACCGGAGCTCAGCTCTTCTCCCTCAACAGAGAGGAGCTGAAGAAGGTGTGTGGTGATGAGGGAAACAGAGTGTACAGCAAGATCACGGTGGAGAAGAACCAGCTGGAGGTAAGTGTTTTTCTGGATAATTCCTGATGGAATGGGGGGCTGTACCAGCAGTGTCAGATAGCTCATTAAGGAGGCATTTTAAGAAACATAATTTGGGGAAAAAAATGCAACCAAACCTACACCAGCAATAAAACACATGTAAAAATTCTGAAGTGTCTTTTAAGCAAAAGGCCCCAAATCCATAAGATCCCCCTGTTTCCACTAATTAATCTGCTTTTTACTGATATCACCTATCCCTTTGAAACTAGCTCTACTCCTACAGCATTCATTAAATACTGTAATTTAACTACAGCTTGAAGTTCCAATCCCAACTTCCTGTTTTGTTTCCATTTCAGAAAAGCAGAGGGGAGTCAGAGCTCCAAGAAATCATGAAGCGCCGCCAGGAAAGGATTGATTCTGCTAATTAAAGTCTCTCTGCTTTATTTCAGCTCTTAGCCCTAAGTAGTGCAGGAAAAAAGGGAATGAAAGCAATGATTCCCGGCCAGGCCGGAGGCAGCAGAGCTCCCCTTGGGGTCCAGCTGCCACCAGAGTGACAATTCCTTGAACACTGTTGGGAAGGGTTGACAATAAGACCATATCCCACTGGGAAAGGTGTTTTAATTTTGCATGAAGTATTTTTTTTATAACTATATATTTTATACCGAAATTTTCCGTGCATGCGATCAGAGCAGGATTCACAGGGGCTGGAGGTACAACAAGGGCTGGATTCAAACAAGGACCCCCAGAGCTTTTCTCCAAGGGCTGTCCCTGCTCCCACCCCTCGCTGGCAGAGCAGGCCTGGACACAGCTGAGGAGAGCCCAGCCTCAAGGCCTGGAGCCTGCACCACGGGAATAAGGCTTGGAGCCCTGCACTGCTTTGGGTTTGAGGAAAGGACATTAAAGCTCATCCTGCTCCAGCCCCCATCATGGGCAGGGACGCCTTTCCCAAGCCCGAGTTGCTCAAATCCTGTCCAGCCTGGCCTTGGACACTTCCAGGGATGGGGAGTAACGACCCCTCTGGGCAACCTAAGGCAGCCCCATTTCCATTTCCTCCTCAGTGCAGTGTCCCCTGCAGCCCATGAGCACAGGCTGCTGACAACTCCCTGTCCCCCTCCTGTCCCTCGTGCCCCCTCACTGGACAAGGCTGGAATGGCAACACACATTCCCAAAGTCTGGCTGCTTCCTTAAATCCACGGACCAGTTAGTGCTGGCTCTGAGCGGCTGAAATGAGCTCTCAGTGCCTAGAAAGGAGCAGGAGTGACAGACAAAGGGATCTGAATGTGGACACAGGTGAGTTCCACCTGCCCACTGCTGCTGATGCACAGCCTGGGCTCAGGGCAGCTGTGCAGCCCTTCCCTGGGCCACTGATCCTGCACTGGAATGTTGTGGTGTTGCCAAACCCGGCCTCAGCCAGGAGAAGATAAGCCCTGACCATTTGCTCCCGTCCCAGGCACGCCCACAGCCCTTCCCAGGGTTGGTCACTCGTCCCCACCTTCACGTTTTCCCTGTAAAAAGTCAGCTGAAATGATTCCCAAATAGCTGAAACCCCAAAGCACACTGGGAAAGGCAGCTTTAACTCCAAATACATGGGCACAAGGAAAAAAAAATCTAATTTAGCACAGGATGTTGCTCTTGACTTCCTGTTTTCCTTCATAAAGTTATGTGCATTTATACATAACAATCTGTAAGTAGGGGGTGAGGAGAACTTCTCTCCCTAGAGGCAGAATTAGTGATTATGCTTCCAAAATTTACTCACAATTTCACAGCTGAAGCAAGCAGCGTAGTTCCAGTCCACAGCAAGTTTGGCACATTGCATTTCTGTCTCTGTTTAGCTGACAGACCAACCTGACTGCAAAGCAGTGAAGCAAACACAGCTCCAGAGCTGCCCGCAGCCCAGGCACAGCTGGGTTTTCTCTCTCAGCACGAGCTGAGTCTTTGCCCAAATTTGTGTCTCTGTTGCACATTTAATGGAAAAAGCTTTAACACAGCTGGGGAACTCGTGTCTTCATCTGAGAGCACCAGTGCTCCTCAGTTCTGCCTTTATTCCCAAGTGTCTCCGACGGATAATCTGCTTTCTTCATTTAAAGAGGACACTGCTGGCACCAGCAGAATGAGGGTGCAGGCAAGGGGGGATCCTGGGTTTAGTCACAGCCCTGCTGGGATCTGAGAAGGGCACTCACCTTGTCAGGGAGGGATGAAGAGGACAATCCTCCTGAGAAGCCCTGGCGCTGGATTAGGGTGGAGAAGGGAAGCAGGATGGCAAGCACAGGAGGTGAAAAAGTTTCTAAAATGAAAATAAAAACAAATGTTGAGCTAGGAAACACACCACCTTCTAGTCCTGGGGTGTAGAGGAAGCAAATCACAGGGAATTACAGTTATCTGGGATTTTAACAGGAGTGTACACGACAGCTCTGTAAAGCTGGGAGCCGCAGGAGCACTTCCCAAAACAAAATCTCAGCAGACCTTATTGCAGAGGTCACTTTTACAAATTTCCATGTGACTGAGCTGTGCATCTGTTCTGTTTGTACTGCCTGCAGACACTGCTATAAAGTACTGTACATTGATGTAACTGAGCGAAGGAGACAATGACATAACCATGCACTGTACCAGAGTTATTAAAATAGTTAAGTTATACTTATAAATCCATCTCTGTCTCTTTCACTGGGTTCTCATAATGGTTTGACACTGACAGTTTCAGAAACTCAGCAAAATGTCTGAAACCACACATTTCCTTTTGGGTTTGGGGACTGACATTCAATAGGAAGGGTGTTATGGTCTGGATAGCTGTGTTTTAAAAATAGGGGCAAACCATTACAAGGCCGTACAAAAGCACATTTGTGCTTATCTGGAAGGGAGATGACTCTGGCAGCCATCCTAAGTGGAACAATATAGAAAGAAGGAACAGCATAAACCCCTGACTCAGCGCCTGTTACATGGGTTCTCCAATTCCAGCCAAGAGCCATCCTCAGTTTCAGGAGGCAAAAGTTTGTTTTCTCTTTTCCCCAGTAATTAAGTTACTCAGTTGAAATAACTGGTAATGTCTTTTGTAAATGTTTAGGGGAGGTCATTTTCCAAGTAGGACCACACTAACAAGAACACCTCCTCTACAGCCTAAATAAAGTTTAGGCAAACCAAGAGTCCAAAGAGTCCAAACCCTGCTGGGTCGGCGGCTGGAGCTGTGCCCGACAAGCCATTCCGAACCTTCCACGACGGCAGGGGAGGGAGCACAGAGCGCTGAGCTCCTGCAGCCGGGCAGCACCGCGCGCAAAACAGAGGTGAAAATCTCACACATCATAAGAATTAAGTACCAGAAAAGCTCCAGGCTGAACTCCTTTCCTTGTCTGGTCTAGTGGAAGATGTTCCACCCGTGGCATGGGGTGAACCTGGATGGTCTTTAAAGTCCCTTCCAGCTCAAACCAGTCTGGGAATCTGTGATTCCATGACTCACAAGGGAGTCTCTATTCCATGGCAAAAAACCCAGAGACAGTACGAACCTGTTTCAATTCAAACAGGACTTAAACCTAAAGCTTCTTTGCATTATTCTTTCTTGGGTTGGGCAAAGCATGAAAAGGTCCCCTCAGGGCCGCCTCCCCTCAGGGCCGCCTCCCCTCAGGCGCGGCGCCGAGCCTCCCCTCACGGCCGCCTCCCCTCAGGGCCGCCTCCCCTCAGGCCTGCCCGCCGCCATCTTGCGGCACCGGCGGCGCCCGGGCCCAGCGCGGCCATGAGGGACGGGCGGCTTGGGGGCGGGTCGGGCGCCGCTCCGGCCGTGGGGAAGAGCCCCGAGTGGTTCTGGGGACCGGAGATCGCGGGGCCGGGAGATCCCGGGGCCGGCAGAGCCCCGGGCACGCTCTGCTGGGGACAATGGCGGCGTCAGGGTCGCCAAGGCGACCGCCCGCCCCGGCCCCCCGGCCCCCGAACCAGCCAATCAGAATCGTTCTCCCTCCCGCTGCCCCGCCCCGGCTCCTCCCGGCCGCGTCCGTCTCGTGTCCGCGCTCCTGATTGGCCGCTGCCGCCCAGCCGGGCTGGGATTGGCGCGGGAGCGCGCGGGCCGCGGGTGCGCGCGCAGGCCGGTCCCCTCCGGGCACGCACCGTCCCTTATAGGCACGCGAGCCCCCACAGCCGCGGACATGTCGGTGTCCCCCGTGAAGCGGCAGAAGATGGAGTCGGCGCTGGACCAGCTCAAGCACCACACCACGGTGGTGGCCGACACCGGGGATTTCAACGGTGAGGGGCGGCGCGAGGGGATCCCGTCACCGCATCTTCTCCTTAGCCCCCTGTCCCGCCCCCCTTCACGGAGAGTGGGCGCGCCCGGCCGAAGGGGCGCGCGCTGGGGGGAGCGAACCACCCAGCGGCCGGAGGGGGGCGGGGGGAGGCGCTCGGCGGCGGCGCCTCGGTCCCGTCCCGGGCAGATCCCGCCGGGCGGGACATTTTCCAGACCCTCCCGTGATCTTCTCCCGGTCTGCCCTCGAGTGTGCCCTGACCAGCACGTCCAGCTCTGCCTGCTGTCAGACTCAAGCCAGGCTCTGCTGTGCTAATGAATTCGGGTTTTCTTCCAGTGACCTGTCCAGATCTGGGACGTGTTTGGGGTTTTTCCAAACTCAAGGCAACCCGGTCCAGCGGAGGGTGTCGCTGCCCGTGGCAGGGGGTGGAACTGGACAATCTTTAAGGTCCCTTCCAACCCAATCATTACAGGATTATGTAAAAATAAGGCCAGAGTGCTTTTGTTTCCCTTATCTGCTGAGAATGAGCCAGCACACTCCTTTCTGAGAAAGGGAGGTGGCCTTCGATTAAAACGCCACTTGTTCCCAAGCTGTCGCTGCCTGGCCCGACACAGACACAGAGCCTGCTCGGCCCATCAGAGCCAAGAACTCCCTCCCCGGGTGTCTCTGGGTTGTGCAGAGCAGCCCTTGAATCCTGTCCTGTCCTCAGCAGGCCTGCAGTAATCCCTCCACCGCTTGCCTAATCCTGCTGGTGTAACAGTAAACAATCCCAAACAGCCACTGTCAAATGTCTTAAGAGTACTAAACTTAAGGTGGAGAGAGCACAGGGGTGGCAACAGCTCAGACACAGAAAATAAAACAAACCCCCAGATGGCCAAGGGGGCGTTTGTGTGCAGGCACGGTAAGGATTGCAGAATATCCCACAGGGATCATCGAGTCCAGCTCCTGGCCCTGTCAGGACATCCCCGAGTTGTTCTCTGGGCTGCTCTTATCAGCTGGGGGTTACTCTGAGAGGCCTAACAAGGCAGGAGCCTTACCTGGCTCGCTCCTGGCAGGTTAAACCCTGGAGGAGGTGAAGGTGGTTGCTGCTGCTGCTGGTTCCCAGTGGTGTTTGTAGAAGGAGTTTCATTGATGTGCTGCTCTGCTTTAAGCAGTACCCACGTGAACTGAAGTTCTGAAGGAGCTGTTTGTATGGAGTTGACCTTTCTCCAGGATCCTGATCATTGCCTGGGATGGATCTATGGAAAAACAAGGCTTGTTTTTAGTACAGTTGCACTCTCTCACTCGGGGTTTCATCCCTGTGCAGAAATGCTGAGGAGAAGGGGCTGGTAATATAGATTTTGTTATTTTTTTGACATTTTAATTGTATTGTTGAAACTGCTGAGCGGCCTGCAGAGGCTCTGCCCCGTTTGCCCTGGTGCCAGGCTGTGATTACAGCCGGACAATGTGTGCCACAGCCTGCTGGAGCAAAAGCTGGCATCACCTGGAACAGGCGTAGTCCAGGGGTTAGGCTAAGACCAAGGGTCAAGTGTCCTCCTGGTAGGACAAGGAAATGAGAAGAGCAGACACTGAGAAACTGCAGCTGTGTGGAAAAGGTTTAAAAAGCAGTAAGAAAAGGTGCTGGAGTCTCACAGGTGAATTCACCTGTCCTGGCCCCATCAGTTGGACACAAACAAAAGCCTGCATTTCTGACTGCTTGAAGGGAAGGTCCCCTGTTCTTTATTCCCCTCCGTGATTCCTGGAGCTCAGCTGTGCTGGTTGGGATGGAGTTTGGAAATTAGTACTACTTCTCTCCATCCGTCATTTCTACAGGTTTTTACTTTTGGGCAATTTCTGTAGTTTATAAACTTTAAAGTTTGCTGTATCTTGTGACTGCAGCCCACTTGTTCTGTGCTCTGGCACAAGCCAGCCTTCAGGCAGTGTTTAAGCACCACTGATGTGCTCTGTCATTAACAAGTGTTTACATTCTCACCTGGCTGAGCAAAACCCTTCTGATTTCTCAGGCTGGCTGGCTGTTTCAAACAGGCTGGTTTTCTTCCCTTAGCCATAGATGAGTACAAGCCCCTGGATGCCACCACAAACCCCTCCCTGATCCTTGCTGCGGCTCAGATGCCGGCATACCAGAAGCTTGTGGATGATGCTGTTGCCTACGGGAAGAAGCTTGGTGGGTAAGTAAAGAGGGGTTTCATCTCAGCAGAGCTATATTTAAAATGCCTTCTTTATATACAAGCAAGGTACTGGGGTTTCCCCCTTGTACTTGTGGGTTTGTCTCCTGCCCCAAAAGGCCTCAACACTTTGAGAAAAATCCTTATGCCCATTCCAGATGTGTTTTTCAGAAGTGTATCCTCATTTCCCAGCTCACACCTGGCCCTCCTTGCTCAGGAAAGGAGCAGCACCATGAAAAAGAGTGTCCAAAGGCTAATCCTGCTGGCAGGACAGAAGTGGCTCATTTGAACTCTGGAATTTAATGTTAAATGGGCTGTGAAATTTGATCTTCAAATCCACAGTGAAGTGTAAACTCACCTTTTTTTTACCCCCATAAATGCTTTTGCTCTTTATGGTTTTCAGGTCAGAAGAGGAGCAGATCAAAAATGCTTCTGACAAACTTTTTGTATTATTTGGGGCTGAAATCCTGAAGAGGATACCTGGCCGTGTGTCCACAGAAGTAGATGCAAGGTTGGCTCTTTTCCCTCTGTGTTATCCTGGATATTTGTAAATACAAAATGTGACTTGAGTTGGAGAAAGATTTTTTTTTGCCTAGAAGACCAGCAGGACTTACATTATTAATATTTAAAAGTGTGGGTTTCCCTTAGTTTGACTAGAACTCTGTAACAAAAACAAGTAGCACTGACCTTGGATTTTCATAATCTTCCTCTCGCTGCTTACGCAAGGGAAACCTCACACTTCCAGTGGCAGTTTTGTTAATTCTCTTCTCTGTGATAGTAGCTGCTCAATTTAGAAAGAGATCTGTTTGGACAGTTTTTTCAAGACTTGCACAGGACTTTGCTGTTAACTTGCTCAATGCCAATTTTTGTTAATGCTCAGCTTCTGAATTCATTATGAGAAACTTCCTTCTCGGGCTGACAGTCCAGGAGGGATCTGAGAACACAAACCTACTGTTGGCATGTAAATGCTGATAAAACAGGACAATGTTTTCCCATGGGGCCTTGGGGCAGAGAATTAAAAAAAAATAATAATAAATCAGTTTTAAACAATGCTGCTCTTGCCTTAAAGGTTGTCCTTTGATAAGGAAGGAATGATTCAAAGGGCGAGGCGCCTCATCGACCTCTACAAGGAAGTAGGAGTTGGTAAAGATCGGATTCTCATCAAGCTCTCCTCAACGTGGGAAGGAATCCAGGCTGGCAGGTAAGGCTGTGTGTGCCTGGTGTGCTGATTCACGGCATGCTCCTGCCCGTCCACAGGCAC